GCTGCAGCAGCAGCAACAACAGCAGCAGCAACAGCAGCAGCTGCAGTTTCTGAAACAGGGGTTGGGAATTTAAGGCACCTCTCTTGTTTGCTGTGCAAGGGTCCGTGCTTTTGCTGCTGCTTCTGCTGCTGCTGCTTCTGCTGCTGGTCCTGCTGCTGCTACAACAGGAACACGAAGGCCCAGCAATGCATGCAGCTGCTGCTGCTCCTGGAGATAGAAGCCCCTACTCCGCTGCAGCACAAATTTCTTATGCGTATGGATGCCCTGAACATGTTGCAGCAAGCTGCCTTCGTGTCGCTGCTGCTCCTCCGCCTGCATCTGCTGCTGCAGCAGCAGCAGCTCCTGCTGCTGCAAGGCTTCAAACTGCTGCTGCGCCGCCTGCTCCTGCTGCTTCGCCAACCGAGCAAGACGGGGGATTACTCGGGTGGCGATGAACGAACACCTGAGGTGTACATACACCCAAAAGAGGGAGAGTCACTAGCAGCAACAACAGCAGCAGCAGCAACAGCAGCAGCAGCAACAGCAGCAGTGGCAGCAACAACAACAGCAGCAACAACAACAGCAGCAGCAACAGCAGCAGCAGGGCGATGAACGAACACCTGAGGTGTACATACACCCAAAAGAGGGAGAGTCACTAGCAGCAACAACAGCAGCAGCAGCAACAGCAGCAGCAGCAACAGCAGCAGTGGCAGCAACAACAACAGCAGCAACAACAACAGCAGCAGCAACAGCAGCAGCAGGAGTGAGGCTCACCACACGCTGTCGTGAATGGCTCTGTCATGCGCACGTGCTGCAGCATTAACAGCTTGTTCTTGTTCTGGCGGCAGCAGCAACGCCTTTTGCTGCTGCAGCAGTTGAGGAATCTGCTGCTGGTGCTGCAGCACCTGTCTCCACGCCAGCTTCGTGCGCTTCTCTAGCAGCCACTTTCTTTGTTTACCCCTCTTCTTCAGCGGCACCCGCATTTGCTGCAGCGACTGAGGGAAGCGCTGCTCCAGCTGCTGCTGCTGCTGCTGCGGGGGCACCGGGGTGTATAGGCACCTGTTCTTCTGCTGCAGCGCAACACGCAATTCGTACTGCTGCTGCCGCACCCGCTGCAGCTGCCGGGTCCCAGGCATCCGCTGCTTCGGTTTGCTGGAGGCCATCTGCAGCAGCAAAGCACCACTCCCGCTGCTGCTGCTGCTGCTGTTGCTGCTGCTGCTGCCCCTCCTATTCCCTGCGCGCTCGTGCAGCTGCTGCAGAGGCCAGCTGCCATACAAAAATCCCGCGGAAGGTGTTGCACCAGCTGCAGCAGCTGCACCAGCTGGTGCTGCTGCTGCTGCAGCTGGAAGGCAAGGTATCTGCTGCAAATACACCGGTGAGGTTCGACCAGCAGCCTGGAAAGGCAGCTGCAGCAGCAGCAGCAGCAGCAGATGCGCATGTAAGCGTCGCGCCTGTGACATTTTCCCCATCCTGCTTCCACACATCCGGTGTAGTAGCAGCAGCTGCAGCAGCAGCAGCTGCTGCTGCTGCTGCTGCTGTGGGAGAAGCTGTGGGGTGCTGATGCCTTATATCTCTAAGCACATCTTCTGCCTTTTTGCAGCAATGTGCCGCTGCTGCTGCTGCAGCGGCGGCTGCTGAGGCCGCTGCGGCAGCCCTCCACGGTGTTGTTGTCAGTGTGGATGGTTCCTTTTGCTCAGCAGCAGCAGCAGCTGTGCAGCAACTGCTGCGGCAGTGCAGCAGCAGCTGCTGCTGCTGCAGCTGAGGTTGTTACTGCAGCAGCTACAACAGCTGGGTAGATGCAATCGCCGACCAATTCTGCGTGCACATAGGCTGCTGCAGGAGCTGTTGTTGCTGTTATTGGTGCTGCTGCTGCTGGTGTTGCTGCTGCTGCTGCTGCTCGCCTGGTCCTAGCTGCTTCAGGCCCAGCAGATAGTGAGGCTGATTGCTACAGCGCAGCACTGCAGCTAAATGAATTTAAATGTCTCCTTTTGTCTCTTCCTTTGAGATAATTGTTATCTACATTTCTTCTAAGAATACTGCAGCCGACAGTGTGGCTGCTGCTGTTGCTGCTGCTGCTGCTGCTGCATGCGGGCCCCCATCGCATGCAACTGCGGCGGTTTGCTGCAGCTGCACGGATCCCGCCGCAGCAGCAACAGCAGCAGCAATTTCCAATATCCTTTTTATTTATTTATGAATTAGAGGGCCTTTGCTTCGTCGCTGTTCTTCCCCCCACTCTCACTGCTGCCGCAGCTGCTGCTGCTGCTGCTGCTTTGCTCTTCAGCTCCCGAAGGGCCCCAGCGAACGCATCAACAGGCTGCAGCAGCTACCGACGTTACTGCTGCATCTGCTGCTGCTGCTTCTGCTTGGCTTGACCTCAGCATACACCTGAAGGGAGTGCCTTCCCCTCTCAGGAGCGGCCCGTGGGAATTGCTGCAAGAGGCAGGCAGCACTGCACAGACAAGCAGCAGCAGCAGCAGCAGCAGCAGCAACAGTAGTAGTAGCAGCAGCAGCAGCAGCACAGGGATTCACCTTTTGAGGGACGGCGTGCATACGGCATCCCTGCGGGCGCTTGTGTTATTCTGAGGTTTTGCTGCAGCAACTGCTGCAGCTGTTGTTGCCCTCCTCCTCCACCTCTGTTGCTGTTGCTGCTGCTGCTGCAGCACCTGCTGCTGCTGCTGCTGCAGCACCGCGAAGATGTCGAACATGGATCGCTTTACTATCAACTCCCAGCTGCAGCACTTGCAAAGCAAATATCCAGGGACTGGCAACGCAGACACTACGCGGCTGTACGTACACCTCAACACCACACTAAGACCTAAGAAGACTTTTAAAGTTTATCTTCGCTAAAGAAATTATTAAATTATTATTATTATAGACATGTGCCCATCACATGCAGGAAGCTGCAAGCTACACCATCGGTGCATACACCGTTCATTTGCTGCTGCTGCTGCTGCTGCTGCTGCTGCGCAGGGACTGGGGGACACACATTCAGAGGGATACTTTGGC